AATCCCCCCAGCCTGGCCTGTGTGGTGCTGCCGAGGGGCAGAGAAAGGAGCCTAGCGACCGAGCGGGGCTGGCGCCGGAGACCAGGGGCACAGTCATGTCTGACCAGGTAGGGCCCCTGCCAGCCGGGCCGAGGGAGCGAGCGGGGCCGGCCCGGCGGCCTCCCCTCCCCGCAATGGAGACGGGAGGAAGGGGGGCGAGCGGCGCTGGGTAAGGGGGGCGCCCGGTGCCCCAGAGCGGCCCCCATCCCTGCGCCTCCTCCGCGGGGCTCCGCCTCGATCCCGGGGGAGGGGCCGGGATCTCGGTCCCCCGCTCCGCGGTGCCCTTGCCCCGTCTCTAGCCGGGGCTGCTGGAGCCGGCCTAGACCCCGGGCCATACCGGGGAAATCTCCCTGGGTGTCATTCGCCGCTGCCCCCGGCTCTGGCCTGCCCCGTGCCGCGCGGAGACGCAGCCACGGGGTTTGCAGCCTGGCTCGCCTGACAGCAGGACGGGTGGGCTACTCGCTGCAGCCGGGGCTCAAGCTTCTTTCCTGCTGGGTCTGTCCTCACTGCTTGTGCAGTGTCCCTAATTCACATCACAGCCAGGCAGCCTTGGTTCAGTCCCGTGGCTTGCTCGGGTAACATCAAGGACAGGCCTCGCATGCTAGTGTGTGCCGATGGATTCTGGCTTTAGCTGACACACTTTGCATCAACAAGAAAAATGTGGATTGTCATACAAGTGTTGTGAAACCTTGCTTGAGAAGCAGTGGGTGGAATTAAAAACAAACAATGGAAATGCCTGGAAATGCTTCTGTAGCTTTATGAAACTATGCCCTGAAAATCAGTAAATAAAACTGGACAGAGAGGAAAGTGAAATTCAGGCCTCAACAAATCCTCACCATAGACCCCCTCATTACATGTTCCTACCATGTTGTTCCTACCAGGGTAGGCAGTACTTTTGATGGGGGAGGTACTCCGGGACTTTGATAAGTGATCAAGGGCTGCACTTTTCTATGATATTAAGAGAGGGGGTGTGGAGTCTGGGAGGGAGTTAGGATGAAGGAGGGATGTGACCTGGGGCAGGAGATTCGGGTACTAAGGGGTGGTGGTGAAGAGTTTTGGAGGGGGTTGGATGCAGGAGAGAGAGTTCTGACAGTGGTGCAGAGGGTTTAAAGGGCAGGGATGCAGAAAGGGGGCAGAGGGCTTGGGTTGTGATCTGGGGCAGAGAGTTGGAATATAGGAGGGGGTGGAGTGTCAGGGGTAGGCTCTGATTGGGAAGTGCTTACTGTAGCGTAGGTGGTTCCTGGCCAGGTAGGCTTCCTTTCTGCTGCACTCCTGCAGGCTGCTCAAAGCAGCCACCTGTTGGAAGTGTCAGTGTACTTATTTCTAGCCAATGGAAGCTTCAAAGATTGTGCTGGGGGTGGGGGTAGTGCACGGAGACCCCTCCCGAGGAGCATGCTGAACAGAGATGCACACCTTGGCTATAGCAGCCGGCTGCTTTGAGAGGCTTCTAGGGTCGTGTCAGGCAGGAAGCCTATCCCTGTTGAGTTGCGGTATGCTGGCAGCCTAGAGTATGATGGTGTGCCTTACCCAACGCTTGGGCTCCATTCTGTCCACACTAGGGACTTCTTGTACCAAGGGTGGGCAAAAAGTCACAATTTACGTAGGTGGACTTTACCCTGAGGTCAAGCAAAAGTAGACTTAGTGCAAATAATGGCATTGCCTGTTGCTGCTAAGGGTTTACATTAGTAGAGCTGTGCAGGTGTCTGAAAGCTGATGGCTTTCATCAGAAAAAAATCCAACAAATAAAGACAGCTTCAGTAAAATGCAGAAAGTAAACTAGCAACATAAATGGAGGAGGGGGAGAGGAAATTATGGAACAGGTCCTGCAGATCTTTGTTCATGTATTTGTCTTTATTGATGTAAGCCATGCTGTTCTCATAAATGGAACTACTTGTCTGGGTAAGGACTATTTAAGTTGATAGAAAAAGGGTTTTCTGCTGCAAGCTAAGAACTCTTTTCCATTGGAATCTAATCTGATACTAGTAATAGTGATAAGGAGAAGCTGTTCAATGAGGCAACAGTGTTCCACCAAACTACTACATTTAACAAATCAGGTTCTAACTAAATTTGTTCAGAAAGGTGGTTGTGGGATAAAGGGGAATGTCCTCTCATGGATCAGTAACTTGTTGAAAGAAAGACAGGAAAGAGAGGTAAATAGTGGTCCCTCAAGAATCTGTAGTGGGACCAGTGCTGTTCAACATAGTCAGAAATGACTGGGAAAAGGGGGCTATTGTTGTGGCAAAGTTTGCTGATTATATACAATTTCTCATGATAGTTCATTCCAATGCAGACTGCAAAGAGTTACAATGGGATCTCATGAAACTGGGTGAGCAAGAAAATGGCACACCAAAATCTGTTAAATGCAAAGTAATGCACATGGAAAAGTATAATCTCAACTGTACCTATTAAAAATGTGGTCTAAATTAGCTGTTCACAATCAAGAAAGTGATCTTGGGGTTGTGGATAGTTCACTGAAAACTCATGATGAGTGTGCAGTCGCAGTCAAAAAAAGCTAACCACTAAGAAAGCATAGATAAGAAGACAGTACATATAAATCCATAGCACACCTACTCTGTGAATACTGCTTGGAGTTCTGATCACTGCATCTCAAAAATGATATTAGAATGGGAAAAGGCATGGAGGATGACAAACGACTGAAGATGTGGAACAGCTTCCATATGAGGAGAGAGTAAAAAGACCAGGACTACTTATCTTAAAAAAGACAAAACTAAGGGGAATATGAGTGAGGTCTATAAAATCATGAATGGCATGGAGAAAGTGTATAGGAAATTATTTATTGCTTCACATAACAAAAATGAGGAGTGTGTGTTATTCAATGAAAATAATAGGCAGCAGGTTTAAAACAAACACACATCACACACAAAGTCAACCTGGGGAATTTGTGGCCATGGCATGTAGCAAAGGCCAGAAGTGTGGCTGGGTTCAAAAAAGAATTAGACAAGTTCATGGAGGTCCATCAATGGTGAATAACCAAGATGGTTAGCACTCTCATGGTGTGGGCCTCTATGACCCTCTTGACTGCCAGGTGCTGGGACTGGACTATGGGATTGATTGCTCAATAATTGCCCTATTTTGTTCTTTCCCTCTATAGTATCTGGCATTGGTCACTGTCAGAAGATAGGATACTGTGCTAGATGGACCATTGATCTGACTCAATATGACCATTCAGTTAAGCCACATATCTTTTACTTATTCAAGGCTGCTTTTCTGTAATCCTTTGTTATGCCTCAAGTCTGCAAAGATTTATGCAGATACTTAACTTTCTGCAATTTTACTTCAGTGGAAGCATTTGCAACCCATAAAGTTTAGCATTCATGTAAGTGCTTGAAGAAAAGGGCCGTACAGTATGACAAACATGTAAACACATGCTGAACTTTTACTTTCGGTTAAATCAGTTGAAGTCCATGACTAATTGACAAGAGTTAAACATACATTCATGATAGAGGGAATGGGATTTAAAGTGTGCATCTTTCCATACAAATGTTGTTAGGAGAAAGTCTTGTTTTTCCAATCTTGTGCTGGAAATAGTTGTTTCTGAGGACCTTGTCCTCCAGGGATATAATCATTTTGTTAATGGCAATTACAGCTATCTTAATATAAACAGTGGGATATTATCAGTTGAATTATCTTCTCCTCCTGTTGAAAATCTTACTGATAGTGAAGAAAAAAGCTGGGTTAGGAGAGGATATAAAAGGCTTATGGGTCCTAAATAACAATCCCAGAATATAGGGAACATAGTCACAAAGGGGTTGTGTGTGTAGATTGTACAATCCCCCCTTTTATTAAACCAATCTAAAAAACCAGATTTATGCAAGAATGAATCCACATAATATTGTCTTCATGTAGCTTTTCTTTTAGCTAAAATATTTCCAACTGTTAGGAATAAATTTATGTATTCTGCCTAAACACCACTTGTTTGCTAACTGTCAGTATTGGTATATGCAGGGCTCGACAAATAATGCAGTCTACTCGCCTGTGGTGAGTAGATTGCAACCTGGAAGAGCTGGGTTGGGGTAATCTGCGCATGCGCAGATCGCCGGACAGCGCGGCTGGTGAGCGGGACTCGCCACGGGTCAGCAAGCCCTGGGTACAGGCAGTCCCTGGATTACGTACAAGATAGGGACTGTAGGTTTGTTCTTAAGTTGAATCTGTATGTAAGTCGGAACTGGCATCCAGATTCAGCCGCT